AGTCCAAGTTCACATTTTTTTAAACACATTGTAGTCTGTTGTCTAATTTATGAACGTATTGCTTTTCTATATCGAACATTATCAATTTATAATTAGGTTATGAACAGTAGGGTAGGGCGTTATTCCGTCAAGGTTCCGAAATGGTTAAATCCTGACGGCTTTTATATTGCCAGAATGTTTTGTTGTACATCACTTTGATATGAACATTACAGAAAGGGGTTATTCCGTCAAGGTTCCTAAATCGTTAAATCCTGACGGCTTTTGTATTGCCAGAATGTTTTGTTGTACATCACTTTTAAATGAACAGTAGGTTAGGGCGTTACTCCGTCAAACCCCTAAGCGGCTAAATCGTGACGGTTTTGTATTGCCAAAATGTTTTGTTGTACATCACTTTGATATGAACATTACAGAAAGGGGTTATTCAGTTAACCCCCTAAAATGGTTAAATGCTGAGGGTCTTTTTATTGCCAAAATGTTTTGTTGTACATCACTTTTAAATGAACAGTAGGTTAGGGCGTTACTCCGTCAAACCCCCTAAAATGGTTAAATGCTGAGGGTCTTTGTATTGCCAAAATGTTTTGTTGTACATCACTTTTAAATAAACAGTAGGTTAGGGCGTTACTCCGTCAAACCCCTCAGCGGTTAAATGGTGAGGGTCTTTGTATTGCCAAAATGTTATGTTGTACATCACTTTTACATAAACAGTGCGGAATGGCGTCTGACAAAGTCCAAAAGTAGCTAAATTCTGTTTTCCAAAATGTTTTCGATCACAAATTATCACTTTATTCTGTATAAACCCCAAGAGCAGTTAATTTGTGTTTTGTGAACGCTAGGCGTGTCCTAGCGATAGTATTTTAAACAAATCGTCAACAATCCAAATTAATTAGATTAAAATTTCGTATCTTTTTTCTTTTTTGATATTTTTACTCTACATTGTAATCTAACAAGTTTTCTATCAAAGGCTTGTCCAAAAGATAGTATTTTCAACCAATCAAAAGTAGTCATGTAAAACCATAATCTTGATAAATTAAGGAATTGTGGGAAATAGAAACCAAAAGTAGAGTAATATGACAGTGTCTTTGGTTTCCATATCCCACAATTCCTTTTTGTAAACATGATTAACAAAAAGGAATAAAATTCGTCATAATTTTTAACGTAGCTTGCATACACAGCCCTTTCAATTTAAATTGGTCTAGATTATCGCCGCACAAAAATATTTGCCCTCATCTGGTTTCTATTCATCCATAAACACAAAATGGCCATTTTTTTTGCGGGTAGAATAACTAGTTATAAAAACTATATAGACTAAACTTATATTGTGTTCATTATTACTTTAAAGATGGGTTCCCTTAATTTCATTTATGAAAATGAAAATGCTAATACTTATATGAATAGAAAGTAGAGGTGTTCTAATGACTTGGAAAAATACCAGTATGTCTCACATGTCCATAATTAATTCATAATTAGCTAAATTAGAAGAGAATTACCAGCAGAATTCCTATGAGTGACCGATCAAGAAAGGTCAAAAAGTCCTTTTTTTGTTTATCCAGGCTGTACATACATGGACATTTATGATTGGTTAAAACTCTTAATTATATGCAATAAGAACATAATGATATGATTAAGAATACATGATAATTCATTAGAAACACCAATTAATCAAATAGTTTACTTAATTTGACACTAAAAAATAAGGAAACCCATCTTTAATTATATGCAATAAGAAAATAATGATATGATTAAGAATACATGATAATTCATTATAAACACCAATTAATCAAATAGTTTACTTAATTTGACACTAAAAAATAAGGAAACCCATCTTTAATTATATGCAATAAGAACATAATGATATGATTAAGAATACATGATAATTCATTAGAAACACCAATAATC